ATACAGCAATGAGAAGCGATATCTTGATTAGTTGTTGAATAATTCACTCAATTTTTCTATGTGTGTCTGCACTTGTGATAATTGAACGACCAAATGACATTAAGTTTAGAAATGTCATTAGAAGTTTAGCTAACAGAACAAAAATTGCGTTACACAATAAGTTCTTTTTTTAGCTTTAGACTTAAAAGCACAGTATGTAATTTTAGCCACTAGAGGGCATGTATACACAGCAAACAAAGGCAGAATCTGATAACAGCTTTTAGTTCAGATATAAAGGTGTCTATGGTAGCGTTAAAAAAATGTGACACTGTTACTATTATGCCAGTAGGTGGCGATATATATGAGCAATATCACACTCATAGCAGTGCGATATGGCTGTATATCGGCACTGGTGGAAGAAGTGCGTTGGTGCCCCCACCAGTGCCGATATACAGCCATATCGCACTGCTACGAGTGTGATATTGCGTTTATATAACAGTTTGACGGCATAATTGTGTATATAATCGCACTGCTACGAGTGTGATATTGCGTTTATATAACAGTTTGACGGCATAATTGTGTATATAAAAACAAAATCTAACATGGAGAGCCTCAAAAACCCTTTTGTATGAGGAACTACTTTCTTCCGGATTCAAATCATAAGCTGACAGTTAAACAGTTAAGCGTGCATCTTTTAAATTTTAGATCTGTAGTGTCTGCTTTTCTTGTTGGATGTATGTGGGCGGAGTAATACACAAAGGGTAAAGAGTAGGGATGTAACGGTATCAGAATTTCACGATACGGTAATACCTCGGTATGAATGTCACGGTACGGTATTTATTGAATCATTTACAGGAAAAAAAAAAACTTTTGAAAATACTCCAAAAAAGTGCCAAAAGTGTCAATGACATACAAATTAGTCATCTATCTGTTAGCTTTGAAACAGGAACTTCAATTTTAATAACAAAAAATTATTAAACCATGTAAAAAAAATAAAGTTTCAATTTAGTATTGTTGAAAACTCATCACATTCAACATTTAATCACTCACTTAGATAGAGATGGGTTTAAAGGAAAATTATCATATAATTATAATCTGGTAAAAGCTGGTATCTCTGGGCATTTACAATGTCCCCTGCAACAGAAAAAACCCCTCTCATTTGGGACTGAGGTTTCTGGGACAAGAGAGATATGACTTGGTCCATGTTGACAGCAGTGGGGTAACGTTGTGCATTGTCTTTCCCCCACTTGAGAAGACAAACCATGAGTGAGATAGAGGTCTCTTTGCGGTACAAGTCAATGTCTGCATCAATATGAACAGTGTGCTGTGTTTCTGCAGTCCCCATGACTGTTATTAGTCGTATTCCCCAACTTGCAGGCACGTGCACACATAGGGCTCAACCTGTGAAAGTGCACATGCCCTTTTTAGTCTTGGATAGAAAATGCCCTTCCAAAACGATCAAAAGTGCCCCCGCGACGCGACACAACCTCCGTCCAGTCCAGCCCTTCAGTAGGCGCGCGATAACACCTCTCTTGAGTATGCGCGCTCAACCCCCCCTCGGCGCTTTTTCAATACGCGCGCCACAACACAGCTGATCAGAACGCGCGCGACAGCACCGCTATTCAGCACGCGCGCGGCGACAACACCCGCTTTAGGTTCGATCATTTCCATCTTTTTTTCATCTCCGCTACTAGCAGCACACTCCATTTCCGCATTACTGGATCTGTAGCGACAACAGACCGCAAAGGATTATGGCCACGCCGGGGCTGATGGGAAATGAAGTTTCAGCTACCTCCCGTTTGCTTCATTCGCCTGAGCAAATTTTCTCAGAAGACCTATAGTTTTACCGAGTCATGCGACTTCGGTAATATCGAAAAAATTTAATATTGCGGTATGACGGTATTTACAATACCGTTACATCCCTAGTAAAGAGGCTGTAGGAGTTCTGATATTGCAGAATATCGCACGGCTATCAGCCAATCAGATTTGAGAACCAGACAGAACTGTTGTATAAAACTGAATAAAATAGAGATTTGTTCAAAAACACTGATTCATACAGTAATGAAGAGCAATGTTTGATTCGTTGTTGATTAATTCACTCAATTTGTCAATTTGTATGTCTGTGCTCTTGTGCAAAATGAAAGACTGAAAGACTTTTTGAAAATGTCATTAGTAGTTTACTAAATGAAACAAAAAATGCATTCTAGATAATCTGTGAATCTTTCTTTCCATAGCTATAGACTTAAAGGCACAGTGTGTAATCATTGCCACTAGCATAAAAAAAAAAAGCATAATCTGATGACATTTATAGTTCTGATTTAAAGGTGTCTATGGTAGCAATTAAAATAATGTAATCTTGAACCGTTATATGAAACTGTTTGTTATATATATATATATATATATATATATATATATATATATATATATATATATATATATATATATATATATAAATAAATAGTTTACTGTATAACAAAAATTGCGTTCTAGATAATCTGTGAATTTAAGTTGTCTCAACCTCTTTTTTCCATAGCTATAGACTAAAATGTCAGTTAATCGCTTTCTTTTCATAGGTATAGACTTAAATGCACAGTGTGTAATTTTTGCCACTAGAGGGCGTGTGATCACAACAAACAAAGGTATAATGTGATAACATTTATAGTTTTGATTTAAAGGTGTCTATGGTAGCAATTAAAATAATGTAATCTTGAACCGTTATATAAAACAGTTGTGTACATACATATACACATGCATACATTTCAAATTCAACAGAAATGTCATTAGTAGTTTACTGAATAACAAAAAATACGTTCTTGATAATCTGTAAATTTAAGTTGTCTCAACCTCTTTTTTCCATAGCTATAGACTAAAAGGCAGAGTATGTTATTTTCACCACTAGAGGGCGTGTATTCATAACAAACAAAGTAAATACAAAATAATCTGATGAACCGTAACACTGAGGCTGTTTTCATGACAACGATGTAGCCAAAAACACAACAGTTATTTCTTTCACTTTAATAAAAGTTTCACATTTTACACAACAACTATTTTAAAATGATTTTTAATCTACTCTGCCCTAAACACTTGGGGTTATCAAAAACCTTTACTTTGAAACCCATTTTCAGATTTATTTAGGTTGAAAACTTTTGTTGTGTTTATTACATCCTAAATGACTCATGTTCATGCTAAAGTATTCAAAGATTTTTAGCACGGTAGCATTGAGGGTGTATGATGTCATTAGCACTAGTTAAAATTTGAACATTCGGGATAATGACAGTACATAAGGTAAACCCATAAAGCCCCATTCCCACATGGCGTCAGCGTCAACGATTTTCATTCACTTCGAATGGGTGACGTCTACACTGCAAAAAATGCTTTTCTTGCTAAGATTTTTTGTCTTTTTTCTAGACTAAATATCTAAAATTTCTTATGCTAAGAAGCATTTTCTAGACAAGAAAAACATTATCTTGTTTCAAGAAATAAAATGCCAATATTAAGTGAGTTTTTCCTTAAAACAAGCAAAATATTCTGCCAATGGGGTAAGCAAATTAATCATGTTTTCTCTTTTGACGTAAGATTATTTTGCTTACCCCATTGGCAGATTATTTTGCTTGTTTCATGAAAAAACTCACTTTATATTGGCATATTATTTCTCAAAACAAGACAGTATAATTTGCTTGTCTAGAAAATTCTTCTTGATTTAGGAATTGTTAGATATTTGGACTAGAAACAAGACAAAAAATCTAGGTAAGAAAAGCATTTTTTGTAGTGTAGCGTTGCCGAACTGAATTGTCGATGCATTGGAGCCACTTGGTCACCAACTTTCCAAGCGCCAGCCAATCAGATAGCTGTGTGCAAATACCCCAACTCAGTCTGTAGCAGATTGCGGACTAATTTCATTGGCTGACTCTAGGATGATCACATCAGCCCCAACTTTAGACACGCTCTCTGTCAAGCATTGACGCTGAAGCCCTGTGTGAATCGGGCATAACTGTTCTAGTGATTTTTGGATATTTTAATTAACAAATCTTACATACTGTGACTTTATGTTGGAATTACAGATAAATTACATGCTCTTTTGACTAGCTGCCTATTCAAAAAATCATGGGAGAATCATCTTCATTTCAAAAGTTTAACCAGAATCGTGCAGCTCTACTTCATTCTGGACCATGAGCATAAACGAGATCACATGATTGGCTGCTGAACTCTAGTGTTCTATTGATTGACAGGTGAAAGAGATCGGCTGAAAGGGGCGTGACCTTTCGTCAACACCAGGAAGTAGTCAGGATCTAAAAGGCAAAGCAAACAGCCGCTATGCTACTACAATAATTGCTGGCATGTCTGAATCATGGCAAGAATAATTTGACCCTTTCTTAGGGCTGGATTCAGAGGCAGAGGAAGCTGCTGATGATGTTGCTGCTGAATCAGACGCGTTGTACAATTCGCCAGTTGTATCTGGTCAAAATTAAACTGGTCCTGTATATCAGCCTTAGCAGAGCAGATAACATTTAGTTCGTATCAGGATGGGAAAAACAGTTTACTGAAATTTACTTAATGATTCTCATACATTTTAATGCAACAAATAACAAATAGATCTGCTTACTATATTAATGAAATGTCAATTTTGAAGCTCATTCGAGTCATATTATATATTATAAAATAAAAATATATTTAAATCTATATGTATATTTACTTATTTTACTTAAATAATAACCAGCTTTTAATTCCAAACCATATTATTGTCTATGTAGAAGTTTATGTATATCCCATCAAGTATAATACATTCATTAGCTTACAGCAAGAGCAGTGTGTTATGACCCAGGCTGAAGGGTCCACTTCACCTGACTGTCACATCCTATCAGTCCAATTATCATCTATATTACAGTATAGTAGTAATTACCCCAAATATATACTGTGTATGATCTAGAAATAAAATTGGCTAACCATTTCATTCCCCCAACCTTGACCAGATTAAAATGCACTTGTTTTATTATGTGAATATCCATGTGTCTTATGCTTACCTCAATGATGACGGACACTATGGTGTTGGCCAGTATTATAATCACCATAGACACGCGCCAACTCAAAGGAACACACACCAGCTGAGGAGAACGTGGAGCGTTAGAAAAATCTAATAAAAACATACACCATGTTCAACAGTTCAGAAAGGTTAAAAACGAAAGACGTTAAATAAAATAATATTAATATTTGTGAAAACCAGGAAACGTTTTGAAGCAGCATAATTGCTTTCAATCTCTAAATAACATCAAAATGTCTAACTGAGGGTGCTTTCACACCTGTGAATCGATTCAGTTGTTCCGAAACAGAGATTACAATTGTTACATTGTTGCTCTTTGCTCTTGGAGCGGTTCGCTTTCACACTGCAAAGTTTCTAATCGGACCAAAAGAGCTAAAACAAGTCACGTGCGAGTAAACTCTCCTCACATTGGTCAGAGTGTCAGGGTTTATTTTGCAGCGTCCCGCTCAGCTGTCAGGAGAGGTGGTGGTTTGGTGGTGATTGACAGGGTGCGCGCGTGTGATGTGTCTGAGGAGAGACGCGGTGGGGAGGGGTGAGAAGGGTGCGCGACAATGCCTATTTGAGTACCGGGAGGAAGTCGCAAGATTACCGGGAGATCATCACTCGTTTGCGGGCATCCAGGGACTCGCGAAACTTCCCGCCCTAATCATAATTCTCTCATCATATAGCCGTAAGCCTTATACATATCCATAAAACACTGTGATATAACCGCGCTCGGATCGGATCGCTTTCTCACTGCAATCGATCCGCTCCAGGGTTCGTTTCAATCGAGCCGAGACCACCTCACTCAAGCAATCTCGGAGCGATTACTTTGGCGCGGAACAGAGCGCGATTGCCCTGTTCACATATGCCAATTGAACCGCGCTAACTGGGCAAACGAGATACGTTCCGAAACAAAAGTGTAGGTGTGAAAGCACCCTAATAGTGTTTTCTAGATTATGGAAGACCTTGAGTGACAATTATCAAAGCTACTGGACATATACACTTACCAGCCACTTTATTAATGTACACCTCTCTTTAGTCATTTTCATAGCGTACTTGAAGCCACTGGAAGTCTTTTATCTTAAATGGTGGATTAACATTCAGCACATGATCACTAATAAGATGTGCCATTATTAGTAACTTTAGGTAAATCTGTCAGTATTATTTTCATTCTCTTATGTTCAGCGCTTTACATTTTTGCCATTGTAGCTTCTGTCATCTGAAGGCAGAAGGCATTGACTGAGTGATTGATGGCTGATATTAACCAATCATTCCCGTTCAGTTCTAGAGCAGTGAAGACGGGGAAAGTATTTCAGGCTTTTTTTTACTACAGCGAGTTTACATAACAACTGTTTATCTGTTCCTGAGTGCTGCGTTTGGCGTTTTTAGGTGAAAAGATGCATTCTGCATTAATGTCTCCAAAATCCGTGCACGTGGTGAGGATTTTGCTGTGAAAACAGTGAAAATTTATGCACTCGCCCAAATGCTTGCAAATATATTTTAAGGTCGCATAGATAAAATTTTGTGTGCATATGCGATCAAAACGGTTGAGCCCTAGCATCTTTACTTGTTATTATTTCCTCATAATAATAATAAAATAAGGAAGTTATCATCAATCACAATACAAATTACAGTGAACTCCAAAAGAACTTGTCTTCTCCACCAGCTGTGAGAAAAAGACATTATAACGACACAGATCACTGAGCCTATTCATGCCAGTGTCCCATGGAAAAAAAAGTGATTGACAGGTGGTAATTTGTGTGTAACTATATTTATTGATGATTTGGTTATGGGTAAAGCAAACACCATGTGGGTCGGGAAGTGAAAACGGTAGGCTACAATTAATTAATTCGTGATGAATTAATTGATATTTAACAATGACCCTCACCCCCCGCCTACGACGACAATGCCATCACCCATCACGATGTTTTACATTAGACATTGTACGATGCCAAATTGGTCAACATCGCCCAACACTAATACTCAGGTAGGGCCCAAAGTAGATATCCCCATTTTACGCCCACAGAACTGCCGCTCACTGGATATTTTCTCTTTCTCAGCCTATTCTATGTGATTGTGCGTGAAATTCCCAGTAGATTAGCAGTTTCTGAAATACACAGACCAGAAAATTAGGCACCAACAACTGTGCCACATTCAAAGTCACTTAAATCCCCTTTCTTCCCCATTCTGATGCTCAGTTTGCATAAATGCATTGAGTTTCTGCCATGCGATCGGCAGATTCAAAATTTGGTAAAGGAGCAGTTTGAGAGGTGCATCTAATAAAGTGGCTAGTGAGTGTATCTGAAGGACGCCAAGGTATAAAGATGCAAACATACCTCTAAAAACTTGTAGATTCCAGAGATTGGGAAAAACATGATGAAAAACATGAAGATGACGAGAATTAAAGCAGAGAGGACAAACGGCCCTGAAAAAGAAAAGAAAAAAAATAATTAGACAACTAGAAACAATTAATGTACTGTAACTAAGAAATAGATTTCTATTGGTATTAAATGAGACCTATTATGCCCCTTTTTATAAGATGTAAAATAAGTTTCTGATATCCTTAGAGTGTGTATGTAAAGTTTCAGTTGAAAAAAATAAATAAATAAAAAAACAGAAAAATAACAGGAAATTTTTTTTATAACTGCTCCTTGTAGGATTTGATCCAAATTATGCGGTTTTGGTGACTGTCGCTTTAAATTTAAATGAGATTGTGCCATTTTTTTTAAAAGAGGGCGGACCTACAAATGCCTGAGTTTCAGCATAGTGGCAGATTCAAAAACAAGACTACTTCCTATGCTAATGAGGGAGAGATCGTCATTAATGGGTGGGGCTTTCCTCGTCTGATGACACGTACAAAGAGAAAATGTCTATCACAGTGTTACTGCAGACTGTTTTTATCAAGTGTGATTATGAAAAACAGAATTTATAATATTAATTCTTTACACTTATACAATGCTGTTTCTGAAAACTTAAAGCGCTCTACACATTGGGGGGAATCTCCTCATCCACCACCAGTGTCCAGCATCCACCTGGATGACATAACGGCAGTGAGTGGTGGAGAGGAGACAGAGTGATGAAGCCAGTTATAGGGGAGGCCATGATGGACTGAGACCAGAGGGCAAATTTGGCCAGGATGCCAGGGTAAAACCCCTACTCTTTTTCAAAGGACATCCTGGGATTTTTAATGACCACACAGTCAGGAACATCATTAACATCTCATACAAAAGACAGCGCTCACTGAGCAGTACCCATCACTATACTGAGGTGTTAGGACCCACACAGACCACAGGTTGGGAACCTCCTGCTGGTCTCACTAACACCACTTCCGGCAGCAACCTAGCTTTCCCATGTGGTCTCCCATCCAGGTACTAAGCGGGCACAGTCCTGCTTAGCTCAGTGGGCAACCATGTGAGAGTTGCAGAGAGCTAGCTGCCGGCTATTAATAAAATTGATTAGATTAGATGCTGGTTAAATTCACACACTGTTGCCACACAACTGTGTTTAAACCCCTTATAAAAGGGATTTTTGCATTATTATTGTGAATATATCAACATCATGTGCTTTTTATACTGTATCCCAATAATGTCATATTTTTTACACCTATTTCACACACAATTTTAAATGTTGATGTTGTTAATGGATTATAATATTTTGGCTGATTAAAATTAGGTATGACACAAACAACAACTCAAATAAGAATAAAAAATACTCTCTTAAGGGTAAAAGATTGCAGATTTTCCAGTTAATAAGTGAATTTCAGACTCTCAAAGACAGCTTTGTTAGCTGTCTGTCATGCTGAACGCATCAACATTCATCCTTACAGTTCTTGTAGCTGGGCTGGCGGAAAGGTTTTCCTTTGGAAAAGACGATGGCAACAATGAGGTACTGAAATGAGGAGATGAAGAACAGTGTGGTGTTCACATCATTGACGATATTTTCTTCTTTAGTCCCGGTGGAGTTACTGTAGTTATTCATGTGATGAGGAAGAGAGCAGTTGTAGAAACTGTAAATAAAACAAGCAAATTAAAAACAAAATAAAAGTACATTCATAGGCAAACACGCACTACACTCTCAGACACAAACAAATGTGGACAGTCACACAATGTCCTAATTACACAAGATTCCAGCGGCAAGAAACTTGGATGTCTGCACCAAACATTTTAATATCAGCCACTGCACACCCGGTGAAATGGTCCTTAACTTGATTAAAAGTATATAGGCTGTACTAAATTCCTTATTGAGTTTCAACCAGACTTTTAAACATGCGTGTGATCTAGAAGGGCGTTTTCAGAACACTGATGGCAGTCTGTCAGTAAATCTCTCTAGTTTGCTTTCATTTTCATTCTCTCCTGCTAGGTTTCCGTTTAAAAATGCGAATGAACTATACGCAAAACTGGACTATAGCATAAAAGACGTGTGAATAAAGCAGCGTTTCTATCCAACGAGTCAAAGTGAACAAAATTGTCACTTCCTAATTAAATGTCGTCAAATATCAACAGAAAAAAATGAATTTGCTGCAGTAGGAGAAGCTGTGTCAATACTTGCTTCATCTAATAAATGACTTGCACCTCAGAAGGCAATCCTGACATGCAGTGAACGCGCTGTGGCGTTTGAAGGTGTCAGAAGCAGAAAACAGACACTTTTGATTCTGGAAGTCATTAATAATATAATAACACTAATACTTAAACGGTTAAGGCATTTTAGAATGACCAAAACAACATTTCAGATGGTTTACAATATGCTTAGCCGGCTGGTTTGTCTATTTATACACATTTTTACCATCACATGATCTCTTGTAACAAAATCACAACATTTTTTTAATGCGTATACAGGAATTTGTGCGGTAAAAGTGTTTCCATCATAGTTTTTGCGCATCTTTTCTTATTGAATGAAAAGTTTATCCTACTCAGTTATGCACATATGTTTTTTGCGCATTTTAAAAATGTATGTTTCCATCAACCATTCTTTATACATGTTTACCTTGTGTGTATATATATATATATATATATATATATATATATATATATATATATATATATATAAAGTATTGGTTTAGCCTCAAAAGTATTGGTTTATCTGATCATGCTATTGGTTGCTTTAAAAGCTATCTTACAAATTGAAATCAATGTGTGCAAGCAGATTTTTTATCTTTTTTTTAGTTTAGTTTATTTGTTTACAGGGTCAATGCACATTAATAAACATTACTGTAAAATGTGCCAGAATTAGCCAAGAATGGCTATTTTTCATTCGTAGACCCTTTACAGAATGTTAAAAAGTCACACCTAAAATAGAAGCACAACATTAAACATTAAATACACTTTCATAAGAAATACAGTTAAAAAAGTAAAGAAAAGAAAAAATAGAAAAGAAAAAAAAAGAACAGACTGATGGGAGCAGAGGACAAAAAGCCAAAGACAACAGTACAGATGTGTCTAGAATACAGTACTAATGCTGACAATGCTGATTTGTCAATAACCAATTTCTAACATGAGACTGAAAAGAACGAAAAGTGCATGATCTTCTAATTGTTGGTGGGATGGAGTTCCATTCCCTAGCAGCTCTCACTGAAAATACAGATTGACTGAATTTGCTTTTTTTGAGAGGAATAATGCAGTCCCCTCTGTCACCTCCTCTAGTAATTCGTTGAGCAGTCGTTCTAATATTTATAAACTGATTTAATGGTGAAGTCGGGTTATGTAAAGTCTTAAACATTAAACAAATATGTACATATGTAATTAAATTTTCCCAACTAAGCAGGTTGTATTTCTTTAATATTAAACAATGGCGATATTGAACTGATTTCTTATCAAGGGTTTTTATGGATTGTTTGTATAAAGATTTAAGTGGCTTCAGAGTAGTGATGCTGGCTTGGGACCAAGTGGTTAAACAATAAGTGATGTGAGAAATGATCATGGAGTGATAATAGATTAGAGCAGCCTCACATGACATCTGATCACGAATAAATCTAAAATTTGCTAAACTGAATCTGACCCGGTTACAAACCTTTTTAACCTGAGACTGAAATGATAGTTTTGAATCTATTAAAACTCCAAGGTACTTGTACTCAGATACAACTTGTAATCTTTCCCCTGATACAAATACATCTGGTACTACACTTAGCCTACCATTCTTAGAAAAAAACATACACACGGTTTTAGAGATGTTCAACTGTAAACAGCATTGATCTAACCAGGCTGAAAGATGTACCAGTGATTCTGTGAGTCTGTCTGCAACTTGTAACACACTACTACCATGAATAAATATAACAGTGTCATCCGCATACATTTGTATGTTATTGTTAGGACACATAGATGGAAGATCATTGATATATAAAGTAAAAAGTAAAGGGCCCAAGATAGATCCTTGTGGAACACCTGTGGATATACCTAGAGGGGCAGATTTGTAATTTTGTATATTAACACACTGTGTGCGACCAGACAAGTAAGATTCTATCCATTTTAAAGTTTGTGGTGAGAAGTTAAAACCAACTAATTTGGACATGAGAATTCTATGATTTACAGTATCAAAAGCCTTCCTAAAATCAAGAAACACAGCCCCAACGATACCCCCCTTATCTAATAAAGACTTTACTTTTTCAGTAAAGTAGCAATTTGCCATCTCACTTGAGTAGTTTGCTCTGAAGCCAAACTGCAATGGATGTAAAGCAAAAGAACTATTATTTAAGTAATTTGTAATTTGTGTGGCTATCAGTTTTTCTGCAATCTTTGAAACTATAGGTAAAATACTGATAGGTCTGTAATTACTTGCAGAGTGTGGATCGCCACTTTTAAATATAGGCACAATGACAGATGATTTCCAAGCACTGGGGAACATCCCCTGAGAAATGGACAGAATAATAATTTTTGGTGATCGGCTTTACTAAAGACTCACTAATGTTTTTTAAAAGTATCACATCCATCCCAAATATATCTTTTGCTCTGGATGATTTAAGAGATGTAATTGCTCTGTTGACGTCTGATTCGGAAACTAACCCTAGAGAAAAAGCTTGTTCTACTGTATTTACTTGATGAACTTCTGAATAATTGGGAGAAAAACACTGTGTGATTGAAACTACAGAGTCCACAAAATAATTATTAAATACTTCAGCTATATCAGCTGGCTTATTAATCATTTCCCCATTTACCATTAATTCAATTGATGACCTATCTTTTCTTTTATCTCCTTTTAAGTAGTTCAATTGGTTCCATATTAATTTGGAGTTACCTCTTGCTTCTTCAATTATTCTCAGGAAAAAATCTGCCTTTGCTTTTCTCATACACTTTACCACCTTGTTTCGTAACATAGTGAAATGTTGGTCATGTTTCTAATACTTTGAATGTAACTAAAGGTGTTCCACAGGGTTCAGTATTGGGACCTCTTGTTTTTACTTTATATATAAATAATACTGATCAAAATATAAAAAATGTCTATTTTCATTATGTGGATGATACAGTTATATACACAGCTGCATCTACACCTAATCTGGCCCTTTCTCAACTACAGATCGCTTAGGAGTTAAAATTAGTTTTAAATGCCAATAAATTAAAACGTATGCTATTTTCAAATTCAAAACAAGCCAAGCAAAAAGTAGGTCCTATTACTTCTACTCATGGTGCAGAGATTGATTTGGTGTCCCAGTACAAATATCTTGGAATTTTAATTAATGATACACTTTCTTTTAGTACTCACATTCAGCAATTGGTGAAAAAATGAAGTGATTTTAAGCTTCTATTTTAGAATTAAGAACTGCCTTTCTTTTTATGCTAAAAAAAAGCTGGTTGAGGCAACATTCATGTCGACATTGGACTACGGTGATGTTATCTATATGCATGCTTCGTCTTAAAGTCTGAATCCATTGGATACTTTTTACCATGGTGCGCTAAGGTTAATAACTAATTTTAAATCCCTAACTCATCATTGTGTGCTGTATACTAGGGTAGGTTGGTCTGCTTTGTCCATTCATAGGCTCAAGCATTGCCACATCCTTGTTTACAAATCTATACTGGGTTTACTCCCATCATATTTACAGAATTACATTTGTAAAAAGCCTGTTCTTAACTATGGTCTTCGGTCACAGGATATTTATTTACTGGCTGTTCCTAAAGTGCGGACTGAGATGGGGAAAAGGGCTTTTAAGTAAGCAGCACCTTTAGCTTGGAATAATCTGCAAACACAGTTGCAGTTCAAAGAATGGATTTCACTACAAGCTTTTAAAAAGCCTTTAAAAGATGTAGAGGTTGAAACACAGGTTTGTAGATGTTTTTCAGTGTGATTCATGTTAACTGTAAATTGGTTTTGTTTGTTGTCTGTTGGACTCATGTGACTTGTATACTGCCTAATCTTGGCCACGGCGCTCTTGTAAAAGAGATTTTTTATCTCAATGTGTCTTTCCTGGTAAAATAAAGGTTATAATAATAACAATAATAATAATAATAATAATATTAATAATATCCAAAGTCCGCATAAAAATAGGTGGATGGAAACATAGGTAATGAGTAGTAAACGTGCCCTCATGACTGTAAGTTGATTTATGTTCCTTTATTTATAGTAATCCCGTTTATCATGTTATAGTAATTCTGCTGCGGCACGGCCGACTGATATTATTAGTTTATATTGGAGTTTATAAAATGTGAAAGAAGACTCACGGGTGTTTCCTGCGCCTATATTTAGCACCTATTGCATCATATTTTATATTCATGTTAATTTGAAATCTATGCTGAAATAAATAATTGTGTTACTGTATACAGACAGATTCTAAACCACACACATTACCACCTCCGCCCATTTGAAAACTGTAAAATACTGGAGGATGTAAAGTGCCACATTCTGAAGAGATAAAACATTAAACGTCATCTATCTTCTGTCACGCTTCTTGCTGGGGCTCCGTAGTGAACTAGCACTCCACCCAGATAAAAAGAGTATTACAATCCTTTATATAGGGTAGAGTGACTGATGATGTTGGTTTGAATGGAGTCACTGACTTTCATTTGTTAGTAATTTAATTTTCATTTCATTTTTATTTTCTATTTGCTGCTGCTTTGAGTAGAATGAAAATAAATGCCACGTAAAATGGAGTTTAAGCTCACATTGGCAGCATTTAACACTGAATAAAGCACATAATCTGTACCTGAGGAGATCATTGTCATAGCAGTTTATGGTGTTGTTTTGCAGCAAAGTCACTGAAATACAAAAACGTTTCTAAAATAGAAATTTTGTGCATTGCTTTAGCAGATAGTTAAGACCTTTTTCATGTTAATTTGCGAATTCATTGCAATACCATTTTATCGGAGCCGCGTCATGTGAGAGAAGAGATTATTCAATATGTGATTCAATATATTAAGATACAAACAATCTCCTACATTCATCAGCAAACATCAGTAGGAGATTTTCATTTTAAAAACTGCAGTGTTGAACTGAGCTAATAGGACAAATGTTCTTCAATATGAGGAGCGTTTGAATGATCTGCAGTGGCACTAATGAGCAGGAGAGGTTAGACTCACTCAGGCTTGGAGTACCAGTCCAGCCTCTGGATCAAGAGGAAGGCAATGATCTGGAAAGCCAGGCAGATGAGAATCTGTGTGAGGACTGAGAAGAGAAGAGGACCTGAGACCAGGCCAGAGGGAGGCCTGCGGGCCACCAATTCCTTCCACGCAGAGTTCAAACTCACTGAGAGCGAGAGGGAGAGAGAAAAATCATCAATACACACTGCATACAAATTACACAATAACTCAATCTCATTTCAAATTAAACTGCAACCACATGAAAACATATTTGACCTTTTTTTTGCAAATAAATCATATTTGAATCTAAAATATGCGAAAAAAATTATTGTAATAAATATTGCCCGTGTGGCCTTCATGTAAACTTACAAAAATGACTACAGGACTGCATGTGCACAGGTAGGTCATTTTTTATTTATTTATTTTATTTTTTAAAGATGCATCAAACTGCATTTAAAGGGCACCTAGGTTACCCCTTTTTTAAGATTTAATACAAGTCTTTTGCGTCTCTAGAATGTGTATATAAAGTTTCAGCTCAAAACACCCATCAGATTTTTCATTATACCTTTTACAAGATGCTGTTTTATACTGATTTCCAGCAGGGGGTGGTTTTGTCGTACTGCGCCTTTAAGACGAGTCTTTCCCGCCTACTGTTTCTACATGCCTTCCCGTGTGCTTTAATCTCCTCCCTCGGCTGCGTCAGACAACACACAGACTTAAAGGAAGAAGGTCTCACATAGCGTTTGTGAGAAATACTAAGAACTAATCTTTACTAATCAGCATTGTGAAGTTGCATTGATGAGTCACACACAATAGCATTACAAAGTTCACGCGCACACACGCACGCACGCACGCACGCACACGCACACGCACACGCACACACACACACACACACACACACACACACACACACACACACACAGAGAGAGATGCACACGCACACACACACACACACACACACACAGGCAGGCAGTCAGAAAGAGCGCGCTTAGCACTGTTTTTGCCCTTAAATGTGACAGGATACAGGCTAACCTTCAGTACTGTGTGGATATCTGTTATGCTAATGTACAAAATAAACCTGATTTAACTTCCACAAACCGGGATTGAAGCGTCTTCTTTTATGATTGTTCTGACACTCGGCTGTGCTGATGAAGTAAAGCTGAAGTAAAACGCTGTAATTAATTACACACATACTCTGTTTTAAAACACTTTAAACATGTGCAACTTACTCAATCACATTTCATGATGATTGATGGTCCTAGCGAACAGAACAGACCTTTTATTCCCGGTTGCTTTGCGTATGTCTGCCTGGTCTTGTTGACATATACACATGACTACCGGAACATGTTAATGCGCGCAGCTGTCAATCAATTCGGTGGGCGGGGGGAAATCGCACTCCTACGTAATGTTGCGGTCGGTCTGAAAACTGCTCTAATTGGTCCACCGTTTTTATGTTGTTAAATTGAAAAAAAAAAAGGACTGGGTGTGTTTATATCACCCCCAATATGATGATCTATACACTATATATACACATATGTTTGTCCAAATAGCTTGAAAAGTAGATTTTTCACCGTAGGTGCCCTTTAAGTAATTGTTGCTGCACCATTTATTTTTTGGGGGAAAATATATTTTTTATAATTTATCGTTTGCATTTATAATTTTACATTCATTATTATACATTACATTTATAAAGTCTGTAAAAGTTTCATTTTATTTGAGTTGCCTATTTTACTTAATTATATGGCATTACAAAATGTGATGTAATACACAATTCTTTTTTTAATCAATGCACTTTTGATGTAGTGTAACATTTAGGCAAAAAGGCAAATATATATGCATCTGATCCTACTGTGCATGATCAAGTGGACATCACTTTAAAGAAAATGATTATATATAATTATAGTCCTGAATCAAATTTGCTTTTTCGGTCTTATTTAAACCAAAATGATTTTATTAATATTAAAGCGCACTTTGATGATGGAATGTAAACTTTATCTGAATATTCAATGACTTAAAAACATCACAAATTTCAGCATTAATCATGCATGTGAAAATCTGAAATACAGAACAGACATTAGAAATGGCACTCACTGGTGAAGACGATCAGAAGAATGATGGCCATGTCTATGAAGAGAAACTGGAAGTCACCCAGGTTACTGCCAATCTGAAAAGCATCATTAATGCATCAGATTCAAAGAAGCAACATCCACAGCTCAACTAATGAACTTCAGTTATTCACAAACCCCTGTAAAAGAAGTAGAACTACTACACAAAGTTGTTCTACAATAGTTGTAAAGGAAATGCGGAGCTTACGGAGTAGAGCAGTGCGACGCTGAGGCATTGAATAATACTGTAGAGCGCCATGAACTTGAACACACAGAAGGAGGTGATGAGAGCCGCTCTGCCTTCTCTGTGGAGAAACAACATGCACTGTATGAGACTACACACAAACACGACACTTGAAATGTGGTTCTTAAAAAACTCTGTTTACAGTGTTTGTGCTCCAGTTGTGATTGGTCATGACAGCTCACCTGATGAGGTTGGGCACACAGGTGATGCTGGGAGTTGTGGAGGTGAAAGGAGACGCCACTGAAGCCTCCAGTTCTGACAGTGAGATCCCGGCATGAGCTCTCTTCAGTGCCTGAGCAAAACACATACAGACATCATCAGTAATGCAGTCCACAACACAGAGACGACGTATAAAAAACACAATAAAAACAGCTCACCCCACAGTCATTCGCTCCATCACCACACATCCCTACAAAATAACTGCAGGAAAGGGAAAACATGTTAGTACAACTACACTTTCTCTTTAAATATACAGAATTATTAGACTACTTGTAGATTTTTACCTAATTTCTGTTTTTTTAAACATTTCTCAACATAATAGTTTTAATAACTCATTTCTAATCACTGATTAATTTTCTCTTTGCAACGATGACAGTAAATAATATTTGACTAGATATTTTTCAAGTTAGTTCGTTAGTTAGTTTACTTATATAGCACATTTTTTACAACACAACATTGACCAAAGTGCTGAACACAATCAATACTAAATTAAAATAAAACCTACATCACATACATAACATTTAAAACATAAGGCAAACCCCTCAAATTTAAAAAGGCTCAAATGCTAAAGAACAAAGATGGAGTTTCAAATGCTTTTTAAAAACAGATAGAGTTGGAGCATGTCTGATGTGGGGTAAAAGCCTGTTCCAAAGTTTTGGTGCGATAACAGCAAAAGCAAAATCCCCACTTCGCTTACACCGGGACCTTGTTACAGAAAAACTAAACTGATCAGAAGACCTTAGTGCCAAACCAGGATTATACACATGTAGGAGGTCTGATAAGTAAGGTGGTGCCAGATCATTTAAGGATTTAAAAACAAAAATGAATAGTTTAATATCAATCCGTGATCTAACAGGCAGCCAGCCTAGAGAGGAAAGAACTGGGGATATGTGCTCACACTTCCCAGTCCCAGTCAGAAGTCTCGCAGCTGGATTTTGTACTAATTGCAATCTATTCAGAGCATTTTAAATAATACCCACATTTAGAGAATTGCAATGGTCAAGTCTTCCCAAAATAAAAGCATGGAGCACCTTCTCAAGGTCATTAAAAGAGAGTCATTTACTTGTTTGTTAAATGCCAGATCACTGTCGAAATGAAACCCAAGGTTTCTAACAACCTTTTTCAAGACACTAGTATTAAGCTCAAAGTGAAATTTAAAGACTAAATTAGGTAATTAGGCAAGTAATTGTATAATGACGGTTTGCTGTGTAGACAATCAGAAACAAATATTACCTAAAGGGGCTGATAATATTGACCTTAAAATGTTTTAGAAAAAAATAAAAACTGCTTTTATTGTTGCCGAAATAAAACAAATAAGACTTTTTCCTGAGGAAAAATTATTATCGGAAATACTGTGAAAATGTCCTTGCTCTGTTAAACATCCATTGGGAAATATTAAAGAGCCCCTATTATGTATTTTTAAAAATGACCTTCCATGTAGTGTGTAACAACTCTAAGTGAAGTGAAATATCCAGCTAAAGCTATTAAAACTATTGATTCATCTATAAAAAAAACTCATAGTGCTTCAAATGAATCATCTTAATAATGAGTCTTTAGCTGTGCTGTTGTGACATTGATACGGAACTTAAGTCCCTCCCATTTGTTGCGTGCACAAACCCAGGAATTTTTAAACCGCTTGCCTCGCCCACAGACACAGTAGCAAGAAAATAAAGAAAAACACTCTAGCACAGTGGTGTCCAAACTCGGTTCTGGAGGGCGGTTGTCCTGCTGAGTTTAGCTCCAACTTGCTTCAACACACCTGCCAGGAAGTTTCTAACATCTAGTAAGAGCTTGATTAGCTGGTTCAGGTGTGTTTAATTAGGGTTAGAACTAAAATATGCAAGACACAGGCCCTCCAGGACCGAGTTTGGACACCCCTGCTCTAGCAGATCCCGGTTTAATCATGTTGCCAAGGCGTTGTGCTCTGAAGTGTGAGGAAAAATTAGTGTAATTTTCCCTACCCAAAGATGAGGATGTGAAGAGTCAGTGGTTGAAGTTTAATTTTGCAAAAAATACCTCAGCATTATAGCCTAGCCTTGTGCTGTCTTCCTGTCGTTTTTCTGACGAGTGCTTCAGCGATCTAAACGCTTACAACAGGAGATTCATCGGCCATTTATTAAATGAAGGATCAGAAAAGACTATTGATGTATGGGACTTTGTCAGAGCTTGACAGGAACTTCATCAGTGCACAGTTCATGGTTTCTTTCTCCATTTCACAAGTGTAAGTAAGTGCGATTAAAATGGTTGTCCCCTTGTTTTCTCAAGCTTGCAAATTATGCATTTAATTGTTTTTTTTTGTAACTGCTTCTACTGTATCTGGTAAAATCATGAGAATATAAAATCGTGTCTAAAGCCATGGGCGGCCACTGCGATCAGTTGTTTTGGCAGGTATGCTCACACATACACTCTGCACTCCTACTATAAAATTGTTGATAAGCCGTGGTGGGCATTTCTCTCTGTCTCATGCTGAACACAGTCAACCAATCACAACAGACTTTTGCCTTCTACTATACATTTGTCTATTTGCTTATAAAGGCTGTTTTATTGTCAGTAAAAACAGTATTTCTATAAGATATTACAATTTAAAATAACCAATTTCTTTTAAAATATTTTATTTTAATTTCTATTTGGGGAAATAAAAACTATGCAGCACCGTTGGTGCAATCCAAGACCTGTGAAGAAATAATGCCAAGGTATCCATAATCCCGGACCAGGCCATATCCTGAGCTGATGCTGTGGCGGTCATGGAGAAGCAGAGAGCGTGAGACTGATTCCTAAAAGACCACACTGACAGACCAATCTCTGAATTGATCCCATGGACCAGCCTGTACACCCACTGGTGACCTACTCACACCTGCAGTTCTTCACAATGAATATCCAGCGTTCACCAGATTGCAGCTCTGCACAAGAAGTTTCGCCAGAAGAGAAATGGTCGTGGCCAACTGGATTCTCTCAAGGTTTTTTTTCCTTCACATTCGTCAATTGATGAAGTTTTGTTTCTCGCCACTGTCGCCACAGGCTTTCTTGGTTTGGGACTTGTGGAGCTGCACATTGATGGATTTGCTCTTGAGTGTTTTGACTCTCAGCAGTGAAATTTAAACCACACTGAACTGAACTTAAACTCTGAAAACTCGACTGAGACCGTTTCAATATACTAGAACTTCTATGTTAAGCTGCTTTGAGACAATCTACACTGTAAAAGCGCTGTTGAAAAAAAGATGAAATGAACTGAAGTTACTAGGACTTTCATTTCAGGATGTTGATGCATTTCCAACTAAAACTGAATATTGAGTAGGGGCGGGGCTTTCTTTTTGCGCATCATTTCCTTATAACGGTAAAGGCGTGGTTAAGAATATTATGGCGAAAGCGTCAAACTGACGTCGAAAGAGAAGCAAAAGTCAAACTTTAATTAAAGATTACCAAAACAAACTTTTTCCGGCAGCACAGTGGCTCAGTGGTTAGCACTGTCGCCTCACAGCAAGAAGGTCACTAGTACCCGGCTGGGCCAGTTGGCATTTCTGTGTGGAGTTTGCATGTTCTCCTCATGTTGGTGTGGGTTTCCTCAGGGTGCTCCTGTTTCCCCCACAGTCAAAACATGCTCTATAGGTGAACTGGATTAACTTAATTAGCCATAGTGTATGAGTGTGTGGATGTGAGAGTGTATGGGTGTTTCCCAGCACTGGGTTGTGGCTGGAAGGGCATCCACTGCGTAAAACATGCTGGAATAGTTGGCGGTTCATTCTGCTGTGGTAACCCCTGATACATAAAGGACTAAACTGAAGGAAAATTAATGAATAATTTATTTTTCCACAGATTAACTTTACTGATTTACTGATAGTTCACCTAAACAAAAACATTGTGTTCTAGCAAAATAAACATTGTAAACATAAAATTTTACACAGACTTTGTGTGTGTGTCTAAGTAATACTCACTCTACACTTTCTAAAGTCTCCACAAGCTGAGTCTTCTGGTCAGGCGCCATCCTTGCAAACACAGTCCCATGAAGCACCAGCTACACCATGAAAACATTGTAAATATCAAACGTGACACATGCACAGAGATACAGTATAGGGGGAATTAGCGGCCTACTAACCTTCTGCAGCAGGTCCTGGAAATGCTCAATAATTACAGCGAAAGATTTTCCGCTCATGGCGAAGTGATACTGTTCCTGAGATCTGGACTCATCCACAGAATGACCATCTTCCAAAATAATCTCCACCTCCTGAAAACAGAGAGCACAAACGGTGAGAGATCCTGAAGCTACAGCTTTGTGCTTCATCCGATGATAATATATGAAGGTTTTTAATGTACACTGGCAATCAAAGTTTTTTTGTTGTTGTTGTTTTTGAAACAAGTGCATTAAACACGTCAAAGCCTAGCTAATACGATCAAAAAACTACATATACATACACATATATATATATATATATATATATATATATATATATATACACATATATATATATATATATATATATATATATATATATATATATATATATAGTTTTAGTTTATATATAATACAATTTAAATAAAACTATATAATTTTTAATAAAATGCTAATAATAGGAAATAACAGAAGGCACAACAAATGTATAATATATATTTGTTAATAAATAAAGGTTTAGATGAACATTTCATCAAAACATTTTAAAGAAAACGTCAGACAGGTGGGCCTTCAAAAGTTGATTGGAGAAACAAGTGGGCCCCAAAGTGAAAAAGGTTAAGAATCCCTGCTTTTTTCTATTGACCTCAGTCTAAAATGCGGAAGTGAGCCTGTTTTCGAGGTTGTTTTAGAACTTCCGATTCAGTTGCCTATGGGAGAAATGACTAGGAATAAACTACTTGCTCTCCAAACAAATGTTTGCATTACTATACAGACCAAGTAGAATAATATATTGAGAAAATATCAGTTTGCAACATCAAGCAGCGTAATGAGCAGTTTTGAACATCTAAAAATGAATGGAAGTAAATGAGACCGGAAGTCTCAAGCCAAAATGATTCAAATGGCTGCGCCTGCTCGTATGCAATGAATAAGGTGAATAGTCTTTGGCTATACATGAAGTTGCAGTTGCATTCAGCAGTGGTGGGTTGTGTCCAGCAGATGGCGCACTGACCTCTAGTTTGGTGGGCTTGTTGGAGTGTTTGCTGGGTTTGTCGGCATAGTGCCAGTTGATCTTGGCAGCCTGTCCATCCTTTGGGGGCACCGCGTCTGCAATAATGACCAGGTCCAGTGGCTGAATCATGCCACAGTCTCGCGCCACAGAGATGGCCGTCAACATATTGTCACCTACAGGACAAAACAAAACAAAACAAAACACTGTAATACTCTCAGTACAAAAAGTGAAATTCCAGGCACATCATGTACCTTTCTGACAATGTCATCTGGCCAAAACCCAGACGTTGCTCATGATTGAAGAGCGGGTACAAACTCAATCTGCTTACGCTCACAATGCCGCATTCAGCCTGGTCTGAACTTTGGAGCGCTTGGCTGGTAATCTGGAGAGCTGAGAAGCTTATTAGACGAGATTCCAGAAATACCTAATGAATTAAGCTTCAGAGCTCCCAGACTCCTGTGTGTCTGGACAGTCTGAACGGCCGACATCTTCAAACTACAGCGGCTCATTCATTCCCCCTTCACTTAAATGAGGTAAGCAGGAAAGCAGGTTTGTAGGACAACAACTGACTGTATATACACACACACACAAGTAAATAAATAACTACAGCGGAAAACATTCCTATCATGTATACTGTGAATAAATAATCTGGGGTCAGAATGATTTTTTTCAGGGTTCCCACTCAATTGTGTGGACATAAAGTGAAACTAAATTTGTCTTGCCGGACCACATAGCTACATAAATAAACAATCATAAATATAAACACAACACTGGACGTAATAGCTATATTAAACCCATACAACTAACATACCAGACTACACCACCTGACAAAATTCCTTTCGCCTATCCAAGTTTTAGGAACAACAAATAACTTGACTTCTATTTGATCATTTCGTCTCAGAAGTGACTTATATGAAAGGCAAAGGCCTCTAGATTAAGCGTATTTTACTAAAATAAAACATGATCATGACTTGATTTTTAATGATTTAATTAGGACAGTAAGGTCTGACTTTGCTTAGACAAAAGTCTTGCCAGCTTGGACGACTGCATCCATACATCTCTGCAATGACTTAATTAACTTATTAATAGTCATCTGGAATGGTAAAGAAATCATTCTTGCAGGACTCAAGAAATCTTAGGATTGATCTTCAACAGCTGCATTTTACCCCAGACATGCTCAATAATGTTCATCTCTGGTGACTTAGCTGGCCAATCCTGGAGCACCTTGACGTTCTTCGCTTTCAAGAACTTTGATGTGGAGGAGTGCTATCCTGCTGAAGAATTTGCCCTCTCCTGTGGTTTGTAATGTAATAGACAGCACAAATGTCTTGATACCTCAGGTTGTTGATGTTGCCATCCACTGTGCAGATCTCTTGCACACCCCCATACTGAATGTAACCCCAAACCATGATGTTTCCTTCACCAAACTTGACTGATGAGAATCTTTTCTGTGAGAGTCTCGGGTCCATGCAGATTCCGATAGGTCTTCTGCTGTTTTTGTGATGATTGGGACGCAGCTCAACAGATGATTCATTGTAAAATCTACCCTCTAACACTTTTCCAAATGATCAACTAGAAGTCAAGTTATTATTTGTTGCTCTGACAACTGAGATTGACAACAAGACTTTTTTCAGGTAGTGTATACCATCTCAAACT